ATCAGCCCCTGTCACAAGCTCACAGGAAGCCATCTCTCTGTGTGACAGGATTTTATTTGACTTTACAATATGTTTGTTTGGGCTTGGCTGCAGCCTGTGGGACTGCCCAGTTGGTGCAGCCGATTGTTTTGCCACCATGTGAATTGGCAATCTGCTCTGGACAATGGCTGGTTGATCACAAGAGCATGCTGGCTTAAACCAAATGTCTTACAGATGCCAGAGACCCTGGAGTTATTGTTTTTACTCAAAGCTAAGTATAAAATAACCAGTCTGCCGTAAGGCTGCACAGAGTAGTGCCAGCACCCTTTGCAGTGAGATCTGTCCTCAGCTGCTCCCTTCCTGCCCCTGCGGTGTGCTGGGAACAGTGCAAAGCATCGCTGCTGCTGTGCCTGAGGTGAGCATCCAGCCTGGAGGGCTGTGGGGCTCAGTGCCACCCACACAGCTAGAGCACCCATTTCCAGGACCACGCAGCCACGGTGGCTGGGGCTTGCACCCAGGTCTGTGTCTGCAAAACCAGGCAGATTCTGGTGTTTGGGAGCTCTTGTCTGCTCCCTGGCCAGCAGGTATCACTCATATGCATGCTCCTGGTTGCAGGTAGGATTTTTGGGCTCTCCAGCCTGCCTCCTCACCAGGGCTGCAGGCACATCCACCCACCCCTCACAGGGCTCCTCTGTGTGTTCTGGAAAGCTGCAGGAACTGCCTGTACAGCCCTGCACTGTCCCCTGTCTGCTGGAGGAGTGGGCTTCGGTGTCCCTCCTGTGCCCACCTGCTGCTGAAGAGCCAGGCACAGAAGAGCCTGCTCTGAAGATCTGTCTGGGAGTCTCCCAGCTGCTATGGAGAACCCGATGTCCTTTCTGCGCCAGCCTGCAGGACAGCCCTCACCAGAGAGCCAATACCCATTTGAAAGCATTTAAAGATCTGTGTCCATCCCAGAACATGTGAGCAGAGCTGCTCTGGCAGGAGACAGGGAAGAGAGGCTGGCAGTAAGAGGCCCCAGAGCTGGAGCAGGGCTCCTGGTGCTGAGAAAGAGCAGCTGGACCTACCTGGTACTGCTTGCTAATGGGAGAAGCTCCCCAGGGCCCCATCTCATGGGGGCAAAAAGCATCTCTGTGTACATTAGACATGTGCATGTGTGCCCAGACTGGGCTCTGTCTCCCTTGGTGGAGGCGCACTGCAGGAAGGAGCCCTCTCAGTACTGTCACGCTTTCCTCCATGGCACCAGCAGAGTGAGGAACAGATGCTGCAGTGAGTCTGCAGGAGAGCCTGGGGGGGCTCTGCCTGGTGTGGGTCTGGTTTGGCTGGGAGAAGCACCCTGCAGGTAGGTAGCAATCTGAGCATGCTGGAAGACTTTTGTGCCAGCTAACGTCTTGCAGCATGCAGGACTTGGGTTAAAACCAGCTGCCTTGGACAGGCAGGGTAGAGGAACCTGCAGCTGAGTCGTGTTACAGGAGCCAACTGCTCTGGAGCCCACAATAGGGCCCCAGTGGGTAGTCTCCCATGGGTAAAATTATGTCTTTTGCAAGTGTTTGTGCAGTATGAGACTGATGAGACAGCGGCAGCTGCAATAACTGGATGTGTTTCTAGACCATTGCCCAGCCACTAGCTAGCCTTCTGAAGGTGGTGCTGGTGCATCAGGAGGGATGGAGCACACTGTATGTATACACACGGGTATGTTGTGGCTGGATTGCCCTGTGAAGGTCTCTGCTTGTATCTAGCAGGGAGGCAGGTCCCTGCGAATGTGCCATCTCCACCTGGTACAGCCATGCCTTCAGTGCCCAAACCTGAGTCCTCTTTTGCAGCATGTGATACAAAGGGTCAGAAAGGAGATGGGGTTACCCTGAAACTCCTTAGCTTCCAGCATATGTTCTCTGCACTGAGCAGATGGCTGTGGGCTTTCCCTTGAGGAGAAGGGATGGGAAATGTCTGGTTTGATTCAAATAGAGATCATGGCTGTGGGCAGATGGCCGTGTCCTGGGTGCTGCTGGCTGAAAGCTGTCCCTGCTTTCGTTCCTGGGAGCAGGCTTGGAGGGCAGCACTGGCCCTGCACACAGCTCAGCCCAAGCGCTGCCTGCCCTGATATCCTGCTCTCTGAGCTTTGGGCACAGAACGGGGCCACTCCAGTGCTATGGCTGCTGTCCCCAGTGTTACAGTGACAGCAGGGCAAGAGCCGTGGCTGCCATCTGCAGTGCTGGCCTGCAACAGTGGGCACAGGGGCACACTTGGCAGGGCACAGGCATGGCCATGTTACGTGGCAGGGCAGAAACCCTTCCCGGGGAGTGGAGGGTGCATGCTGAAACGTTTCTGCCCAGTGACTGCCCAGGGCCAGTACAGGGTGGACAAAGCCACTGCATGAGGTGCCACAGCTCTGGGTGTCCTTGGCAGCAGTGCCTGACCTCCACAAAGGTTGGTGGGATTGCTGTGTGGCAGAAAAAACACTAAAGCTTTTCTGATCTCAGACTCTCTGCTTAGCCCCTGCCAAGCAGTGTTGGCATCTCATCATCTGTGCCTTAGACCCCAACCAGAGTGAGCTACTGGTCCAGTGTGGGGTTACTGCTTAACCAGTTGCTGTGACCCCCGGGGATGCCAGCTTCTCCAAGAGGAATGGAGCAAAGCACAGAGGTAGCTGGTCTCTGCTGGGCCCCACATGGCTGCCCTTGTCCTGGGAGCGCTGCTGCTCCCTGGCCGGTTCTGGTGGGACAGGAGCCCTCTGTCCCATCTGTGTCCAAAGCATTTGTGTGTACACCACCGTGGCATCTAGCCTCAGGTCCTGGGGGTTGGCAGTCCCTGAGTGTAGCAAACCGCCTGGCTGTTTGCTTGCTATTTTCTTGGTGGGGGGAAAAGTGATGGATTCCTGCTGTACTGTGTGAACCTGCTGTTTACCATGGGTGTGCCCAGGTAAGTGTGCATCCAGGCAGAGGCTGTCTGGGGCACCGGGTTCCTTGGAGGTTTCCTGGCTGCCTCTGCAGCGCTGGGTTTATGCTGCCTGTCTGTGTGCCTTGCAGGCTCTGAAAAGGAAGCCAGACCTCTTCCTGTGTAGCAACCTGGATGTCAAAGCAGTGTTTCAGTGCGGTGAGTACCATGGGCATGGGCGTGTGCTCTAAACTGCTCTGCAGAGAAGCCAGCCTGCTCCTCCTGCGGAGCCAGGCGCAGACCAGCCAAAAGCTGGGGACCACAGGGCTGATTTGGGGTGGTGTGCGGTGTTCCTGGCTGCTAACCCGAGCGATTTCTGCCCGCAGGTGTCCTTTCGCTCAAGTTCCCTGAGGCCCCAACAGTCAAAGCATCCTGTGGCTTTTTTGTGAGTATTGTGGCATTGTGCAGCCCCCTGAGAGCTGGGAGGGCAGGAGTGAGGCTGCAGGTGGGGCAATGGTGCTGTGGTGCGGAGCTGGCTCTGGCACTGAGCAGGCTGGGCTCTATATTGCAGACGGAGCTGCTGCCCCGCTGCGGAGAGATTGCCCCTGTGGGACAGGTCGTGCATGAGAACGGCAAAGTGCTGCTGCAAGCGGTGCTGGAGGTGAGAGACGCTGGGACTGTGGGCTCCCCAGGTAGCTGTGGGCTCTGTTCCCGAGCAGCATCCCTGTGGAGCTGGGGGCAGAGAGCCCGGCAGTGTGGGTGGGTGCTGGCAGGGTGATGCCAGGGGCTCAGCGGGGTCTGTCTGCTCGGTGGCAGGGTGTCGGCGGCCAGGCTTCCCGCAGCCTCATGGATCACTTCGCAGAAATCCTCTTTGCCTTGAACAAGCACTGCTTCAGCTACCTGAGCGTCTGGATCAAGGAGGCCATGCAGCAGGATGGCTTCCCCTCGGCCCGTGTCAGCCCTGAGCAGAAGGAGACCTTCAGCCAGCAGATCCTCAGGTTCGTGCACCTCTCTCTGGGGTGGCTGTGCCCCATGCACCATGGGAATAACCCCCCTTGCATGGCCTGGCGTGTCCCTCCTGCTTCATGTTTGTCCCCTCCCTCTGTCTTAGCAGAGAGCGTGTGAACAAGCGGCGAGTGAAGGAGATGGTGAAGGAGTTCACCCTGCTGTGCCGAGGGCTGCATGGCACAGAGTACACAGCAGACTACTGAGCACCTGGCCAGGACTGCGGACAATTTGCCCAGACCAGCTCTTCCCCGCAAGGAAGCCCCCCCCTCATCCTCCCCACCCTGCTGCAGTACGGCTCGTAGAATAACCCTCCACCTAGAATTAACCCACTCAGGATGCTCCTCAGCTAGATTTGGTGGCCGCATCTCGGTGTCAGCATCTTTGTTTCCCCCAGCATGCTCCCCCCTCGCAGGGGACGGGAGTGCCGGCTGCAGGAGGTGGTGGCGCGGGGGGGTGAAGCCTGGGCAGGACTGTCCCAGCACGGACTGCCCTGTGCCGGGGCTACCAGCCTTTCCCCATGGGTGCCCGCGCCCCATGGTGGGGAGGCTGCCCCTGTGCCCACAGCAGTGGCTGGCTGGGTGGGGGGGGTTCGCCCCCTGCTCGTTTGTATGTGCGTGGTTGGGAGGGGGGAGGCCCTGCACCTAATTATATTAAGAATATTTCTATGTTGTGGCTGTCATTTTTGCGGTGCCTGGATTTTGCCTGCCCCTTGCTTCTGGGGAAGAGCCCAGTGGAGGAGGCTGAATTAAGGTTGGGATGCCTCAAAGCTTGAGGGATGGCAAAAACGAGTTCCCCCTGCTTCCCCCACCTGGCATGGAGCAGCTCACAGAGCAGAAACGGTCCTGCCCTATGCGAGAGGGGCCAGACTCCATCCCCACCAAATGTAGGGTCCTCCCTGCAGCACAGCATGTGCACCCCACTCCTGGGCATCAGAGCAGGTGAGGGCCTTGCTCACACTTGAAGCTTTAGCTCCCCAACCCAGCCTGTGAACGCGCTTTTGTTTCTGAGGATCCTAGTTCTGCTTTTCTCTTGGGCCATTTTTAACCGATGCACAGGGCTCTGCTCCCCAGGTGCACACCATCATCTATCTGTACTTTCACTCTGGGACACCTGGTATCAGCCCTGTCTGCGCTCCACTCAGCCCATGTTTTATTCTAGAAGACGATTCACTCACAAGTCCTTTTCAGTTCAGCTTTAGTTAGCAGCAATAGCCCACAAAAGCCTCAAGTTGTGGTGCTGTCGGCTCATGTGAAGTTGTGACCCTTCCATGGAGGGCCAAAGCTGCCCTGGAGCGGGGAGCCCTCTGGGCCAAGGACCTCTCCTGGCCTGCCACTGCCCTGGCCATGAGCCCCAGGGGGACACAGGCACCCCAAAAACACACACAACTCCTGCTCTCCCAGTGCAGCACTACTGACCCATGGCCGCATCCAGTACAGGGCCAGCTGGCAGCTGGTCCGGACCCTCGTGAGCCCCTCATGGGTCTGACAGCCAGCAGCAGGCGACCCCCAGGGCCCTGCACACCCGCTGCTCCTGCCGAATCAGGGTTGCTCACGCCCCTCATCCTCGTAGGCAATAGCAATCCCTCGTCGCCCCTGCACAGCCTTGGAGACGGGGGTCTGCCCCAGCTGCTGCTCCAGGCCCCGCCAGCTGCGGGACTCCAGGAAGGAGGCTGGGAGGAGAGAGAAAGGAAATTGTTACTGGGAGCAGGGAGGCAACACTGCCCCTGCACCGGGGCTCAGCCCCACAACGCAACCGAATCACAAACCAGCAGGGCTGATCTCCGCAAGGGCCCGTGTCTGGTCCCTGCAGGCCAGGACGGTGCTGGGAGGCTGCTGGGGGGCTGAGGGGTCGCAGAGGTGGGCAGCACGCATCTCCCCCGTGATCAGTGAGATGTCAGGAACAGCCTCTGCTGCAGGGACAGCCGGTGGGAGCTCAACGTGTGCACAGGCACCTGCCGGGAAACAGTAACATCAGCCTGGTGCTCACGTCTGTCCTCCAGCTGGTGCAGAGCCAGGGCAACCATGGCCTCCACGAAGGAAAACAGGGCAGGATGTGCCCTAGGAGGGTGTTGTGTGGCTGGTTCCTAGCATTACCTGGCAGCAGGTCTCGGAAGTCAGTGAGGTAATTCCCCGTCCATTCACGGGCTGGATTACAGGCCAGCTCCAGCTCATAGGGGGTGACAACAGGCCGGTAGAAATCACTGGAGTCCAACAGGGAGTTCTGAGCACAGGCTACCAGGACAAAGATGTCCACCTCCAGGAAGTTGGCCAGCTTGGCAGGGTTTGGCTTCCCCACAGCCAGCGTGTAGCTGCGCTTGCCAGCCCTGTGCAGAAGCTCCCGGAGGTGCTGCAGCACAGCCAGGTAGCCTGCCACACCGAGGGTGCCCACCAGGATGCCCACCACACGAGCATCCCGGGCCCGTTCCACCAGGTAGAGGCGTCGCATCAGGGCCCGGTTCACGTTGAAGGTCTCGTGGCGGCTGCAGCCAGTTGCAGGGTCAAAGGAACTGAAGGGGCACTGGTTCCAGGTCAGCATGAAGCTGGTGAGGGCCAGGCCCTCGGCTCCCACGTAGAACATGGCATAGTCCTGCAGCCCTCCCGGTGCATCCACTGAGAACTGGCGACCAAACTGCCGCACGTCCCGGGGCAGTGTGGGACCAGGAGGGTCCCCACACACCACCCTGGAGAAGACAATATTAGGGTATTCAGGGCACAACTGCTGTTCCAGCTCACCTGAAGGGAGAGAAGAGTGAGAACAAATGAGGGCCACAGACTCACCCTGCAGAAGGTGGGACAGCATATTAGGAGAGAGGACAGAAACAAGGCTGGGGACTGCCTGCCTGCTGCTGCCTCTCCCCCTGGCAGCTCTGCAGGGCTCCAAGCGCTGCCAGAGCCCCGCTCCCTGCCCCAGAGCACTCACCCATTGCATGGGCATAGATCACATCGTTCAGCACCACAACGTGACTCTGCCGGTCAGGGTAGAGCTCCCGGAAAGCCTCCACGCAACACCCGATGTCCAGGGGCTGCTGCCCGAAGATGTGCAGCACCGGGAGCTTTCTGCAGGGGCTGAGGCAGGCCGGACCGTAGTGCAGCACCGCCTCGGCACCTGCGTGCTCGGCGGCCACTTCGTCCACACAGCAGCTGTGAGGAAGACCTGGTGTCAGACGGGCTCTGCAACACGGAGCTCCTCCTCCTCCCTGGCCCCTCTGTCCCCAACCCGAGCAGCTCTGACCCTCGGCCCTGCCAGGCTGGGGATGAGCAGCCCCGTTCCTGCCCATGGAGGAACCCCGTGACACCCCGCACGACCCCACACCGACCTGCCGTATGTAGTGTCTCCCAGGATGTACATCTCGGCCCCGGTCGCCGCCTCCATCCGGGCCGCCACTGCCGCCGCGTCCGCCAGGAGCTCGTCAGGGAACTGGAGGGCGACCTGGGAGGAACATGGCGTGAAGCACAGGGGAGGGGCGGCCCGCAACCCGCGGCTCTGCCTCATCCCCAGCCCCGCTCACCTTGCGGAACTCGCCGCCCCGCAC